GAGGTGTGGAATGGTGTTAGAGTAAAGACATTTTTAGTTTCGACCAGTCATTTATAGTTTTGAACTATTTAAAGTTAAACATGCATTTCACTTATCTATTTTAGTTTCATGAATTTAGAAGTTTGAAATAATGTATTGATAATTAATATGTACCTAGTGAAGTGTGGTTCATGTTGTAGAATTAAATTGAAGGGATGAACTTATGTGATAAGAAGTCCACTAAATACCTATGTAGTCTCGAGTTGAAGAGAAGTCCACAATTGAATAGAAAATTCATTTCATCCTCACTGAACATCAGGATTGATTATTTTTCTCTTGCCATCTTTCACAATTTTTGTCACGTGTTAATACTTTGTTTTGATGAAATTGACATTTGTACTTCTGTTTCTGTTTGTCATCTTAATACATAGGCTATGATCGAGGCTGGTATTATTTCACATCTTCTCCAACTACTTCAAAATGCTGATTTTTCAATGCTGATGTCACTCGTTTTGGCTATTTTTTATGCCATTTCTAACGGAACTAACGAGCAAATTAAGTAAATTCTCCACATCTATTGTCATATTCTCTTAGTTTATTGTACATTTAGGTTTGAGAATTAATGGTTCATCTTGGTGACAGGTTCTTGGTGCACGAGGGTTGTATAAAGTCATTGTGCGATCTTCTAGTTGGTCCCAACGAAGCGCGTGTCATAAAACTCTGCTTGGAAGGCCTTGAGAACATTCTGAAGGTTGGAGAAGCTGAGAAGCCCCAAGGTAACACCGAAGATGTGAATGTCTTTGCTCAGATGATTGATGATGCTGGGGGTCTACAGAAGATTAAGTTGAGAAGAACCAAGGTAACACGGAAGATGTGAATGTCTTTACTCAGATGATTGATGCTGCTGGGGGTCTTCAGAAGATTAAGAACCTGCAGGCTCATGACAACAATGAAATATGCGAAATTGCTTTGAAACTACTTGAAACATATTGGTAGGAAGAGGATGACGAGCATCTGCCTACTTCACAATCTGGGCGTGTTTGTTACACTTGCATAATAATTCATCATTTCCTTTGTTTTCTACCATGAATTCTAAGACACTTTTGGTACACACTGAAATAACGAGGTTCGACCCAAACTACACATAGAGGGGGGTGAATAGGTGATTATGCGGAATTAAAACTTAATAATTAATTAGCAACAAATCACTATTAATTATTTCTAGGTGGTTAATCAAACACTCCAATTTTTCCTATGTTGAAATACCGATGTTATATGAAAGCAATAAACAAACACAAAAAATGATCACGGAGAAACCCCAACTGGGTAAAAATTTTGGGCATTTTGCTAGTCAACAATTCACTATAATCGAATTAGAACTTACAGTCAGCCAGACTCAACTACCACTAGTACTTTCTGACCTCCTGACTGCAATTCTTACAGCTCTCCTGGATTTTGTGCTCCTGCACCAACTCCCAGCTGCAGGTTTCAAAACTCTCCTGGATTGCGCGCTCCTGCAGCAACTTCTGACTTTATGAATTTGCCTATCTCCTATGGAGTAACGAAGAACTCCGCGTTTTTCAACAACTGGAACTCCAGCACCTTCCCTTGATCTTCAGAACTCTGACAGATGTGTAGGTAGCAGTTTAGTATTTGGATTGTGGATTTGATGTTTTCACTGCCAAGAACAAATTACAGCATGAAGGTTGAAAGCTTCTTTGATGAAGAGGATATGAAGAGTTTATTTTCACAATGATCAACCTTGGAATTTACGTTCAAAGGCGTTTGGTATTTATAGTTTAGGTTTTGGAATGAATGGGCAGGATAAAAAGTCTTAAAAATGAATTAAAAATTCTTCGGATAACCCTGTCACTCGAGTGAAAGCTGGGCGACAGACGAGCGAAAGTGTGTCGCTTGTGCGAAGGCAAAGCGGCAGACGAGCGACAATGTTTCTGTTTTTGATGCTCGAGCCAAGTCATGACAACAGTCTAGCGAAATTGCAGCGCCGTTTTTCATTCTTTCCATTCTTGAATCTTAGACCTAATACAACTCAATTTCTACTATTTGTAACTTACTCCTTGACTTTTACAACATATTAAATTTAGTTCATTTTGTTTAAAAACTTGTCAATTACATCAAAAACCTAACACACATAATTGGATTGGAGCATAGATAAATTCTAAGGTTCGATTGTTGCATGACTCCTTCAAAATTTGTAGTCATGCGTCTGACCAATAAAATATCTACGTAGTTTTTCAAAATATTTCGAAAGATCAATTTTGTATGACTCAAGGAGCTCCAAAAGGTGACAATGTTATCCTTTAGAGTTTTGTCTGATCAATTCATCGTGGTTGAAGCTATTGAATCTTATTTAAAAAATTTCAACAACATTCGATATATTGTAGAAAGATCATGTTTGACAATAATTAAAAAGTAAAATTTTATTTTCAAAATAAAAAATCAATACTTTTTATCTTTATAAATAATTTAACTTTTTATTTTAAAAAATAAACTTTAAGATTAGCCAAACATGATTTCACGATTCTATTAACGAAAGTACATGAATAAACCTCTCTCATCTATGGTGACCCCACACATCATAATCTTAAGCCCCTGTTTGGGATTTACTATAATGAGTTTTTGGAATAGTGATTTTTTTAAAGAATGTGTGGTTAAAAAAGAAAGAAAAAAAATTTGAATTTACTTTTAATATTATTTTATTAAATAATGTGTAATTAAAATAAGGAGAGAGAAAAGTACGGTAAATTATAATGAAAACCGAACAAGGGTTACGTCTTATGCCACAAATTTTATGATTTTTAAAGTTGGCGTACCATCAAATTAAACGATCCTGATCTTGCTAAACGCGAAGCAAACAATCAAACTACGAATTTCAAACTCAGTGGCATTACTGTAAATAAAGTGTAAACCATGTCCATTTCTCATTTAGGCGGTTGTTGAAACTTGATAATCGTCACCTCATCTACGGATGAGAAAAAAATCCCTTTAACTCGATACCCGTGGGCCCCGTCCCAAATGGGGCTGGGATTACCCGCCTAATCGGGTAAACGGGGCGGGGACGAGGCGAGGTTCATTGTCCCGTAGAGGGTACGGGAAACATAGTCCCGCTACCTGCAATGTTTAAAGTTAGTTTTAAATTTAAGTTTTTTATCAAACAAAAATAATAGATTTATTATCATTTTAAAGAGAACGTAAGTTGTTTTCAATAAATTGGTAATAAAGTAATAATATTTACTAACTAAAGACATAAAAAAATAAATGTAAAAAATAAAATAAATAAATAATAAAAATAAATCCCCTACCCCACCCATCCTGATCCCTCCCCTAACCCGCTTTAACTAGGTATAGGGATGGAGAAAGGTAACAAAAATATCTGGCGGGACGGGGGTGAAAATGATCGACTCGTCCCATACCCGTCATGTTGCCATCCTCATCTAACTCTCGTCACTATCAAAGATATTTCGATACATGTACATACATAAAAATTGAATTTGTTGTTTAATTGAGGTCATCTGGTTTTTTGAATAGCGAAAACGATGTTGTTGTGGCCATACTTGAGGACGGAGGCGAGGTGGACCAAGTACAAGGTGGCGGTGGACGCGGAGGTGGGGCTGCGGAGGAGGGAGGACAACATGGTTGAGATCCACAAGATCTGAAGGGGCGAGAGCTTGTTGAAGAAACGCCTTGAAGGCCTTCAAGCACAGCAGTTTCAGCCCACCGTCAACATCCCTCAACAGGTGGACAAGAAGGTGAAAACATGAATACGATTGATTCTTCTGCTTTTTTGCATACGATTTTTATGAAATTTTGTTTCACTGTTATAGTTGATTGTTGAACATGAAATTAGAACTAGCTCATAGTTGAATTTGGAATTTGTCTTGGAATGTTAATGTTTTCATTGATTATACTTGTAGATCGCGATATACAGTTCATTTTAATTCATGAAGAAATGTGAGATGAGAATAGTTCGATTTAATTTGTATTTGCTCTAGATGGAAAAATACTTCGGTTTTGAGTTATTGGATTTTCATTTTTCAATGATTCAGTTAGAAAGTCTTCCGGAAATGATTGCTCGAGTTTGCTCAAATGACGGCACACTGCAACTCGAAGTCACAACTCAGTTTCGCAAACTTCTTTCAATAGGTAATTAATTTATTATGTTTGTGGATTCTATTAATTCTGAAATGGGCCTTTTTAATGTTTATTGTTAGTTTTTTCTTTCAGCTGATTCTGTTCGCGTTTTAATTTATTTGTTGAGTTTCTTGCAAGAGATGACTACCCGCAACTTCAGGTATAATTTTTTGTTAATAATTGTTTATTTCTTGTGTTTCAATTGCTAATTTTTTTTATTTTTTATTTTTTTAGATCATGCATTGGGTTATTCCTTTTTCTTGTTTAAGGCAGCTTGGGCTCTTACAAACATTGTATCTGGGACATCTGATAACACCAAGGTTGTGATTGATCATGGTGCAGTTCCAATTTTTGTGAGACTTCTTTGTTCCCCTAGTGATGATGTTCGTGAAGATGTAGTTATTGTAAATAAATAATTGTACTGTGCTTCAGATTCAAATTTTACTTTCCGGCTGTTTTTGATGATATGCATTTTCTGATACTTCACGTGTCAGGAAATTTTGCCTTTGACAAAACAATATCTTGTGATCTTGTCCTTAGTTATGGAGTGTTAATGCCCTTATTGGCACAATTTAATGATAAAACAAAATTAACCATCATGAGAAAGGCAACGGAGACATTGTCACAGCTTTGTGCGAGACGGCCTCCGTTAGCGCAGGTTTGTCTTCTAAATTGATTTTCTGTTCAGTTTTGATGCATATCAATAGTGCTTACCTTTATATATTTAACCAATATTACTGAGCAGGTGAAATCTGCCATCCATCCTCTTGCTCTTCTGATTCAAACAGACGATGAAGAAGTCCTTAAACATGCATGCCGGGCACTATTCCGTCTAACTCATGGGGAAATGGAGATAAAACAAGCTGTGATCGATGCTGGTGTTTTGGAAAAATCCTACTTGATATCATTCCTTGTTTTTTTGATTTTTTTACTTTGTCTTTTTTTTTATTGAACTCCATAGCTGTGCTTATTTGGTTTAGTGGTTTGCAGATCTCCTTCACATCATGTTTTGCTACCTGCCTTGTCCATTGTTGATAATATTATTCCATATGTAAATGTTGTCCAGATTCAGGTATCAGCCAACTCTTGTTCTTAACCTTAATTAGAAATCTTCCTTTTGAGCACATTAATTTGTTATGTGGTATGTTCACCGTTCCTATGGTAGGCCATCAAATGTCTACTATATCTCACAACCAACTCTTTTTTGCTTATTTTATATGAAAGATGTGTACGGTAGGCCATTTTGTGTTTTAGCAGTTTTGATGGTCTACATACTTACCAGTCATTGTGTATAGTATTTACCTTAGGTGGAGAGGGGTGTCCTTGTCAATTATGCCAAAAATGCATTGCTTCTGTTGCTAATGCAGTCTTGTTGCTTCTGTTCTAAATTACCATTAGAAGAATGGCTTCAGTCCTTATTGTTTTTGTCATATTCATGATCCATATATGTTCAGTTTCGATACAATGCTTATAACATACCATCTCTAGGAAACCAAAAACTGTACAAATTTCAGAAGTTACATTCTGAAACTAATTAGTGGAATGGGAAAATGTCAAGGATGTGGTTTCAAGTATCCATAAATACACGTGTGATGCAAGATGATTGGTAGTTACATTTTTGAAGAAAGAAGCATTTCCAAGTTACTTATGTTGTTACCTTTGTCATCTTACGCCCCTCTTACAGAATTGAGGTGAGCTTAGAATAGATCAACTTACTTTTAAGCAAATTTTGTTCAGAAACATGTTTGTCCTTGAATTTTTCCTTAACTTCCTAAGTAAAAAAAAAAAATCTTATTTTGAGAGTTTGACAGCTTATCTCATATATTAGAGTTCTTTTATGATGAGTTTACTTTTCATAACGAATTTTTTAAGGACTCGTGATCGTTAAATGATATTTATTGGATTCTAATATCAATTTTAGTCGTGTTCAACTTTGCTTCTGTTGAATGATTTCCAGGTTATCATTGATAAAGGAGCTCTTCCTTGCCTGCTTAACTTGTTGACTCAAAATTACAAGAACAATGTCAAGGTGAACACTTGTTGGATCATTTCATTTATCATTCGACGGACTAAGGATCATATTCAGGTATGCAAATTACTATGAAATTGTTTTACCTTTTGTGGTATTACTCTATGCATTCATAATTAATGCATTGAGATAAATA